CTACTCGTTGTTCTGGGTCAGTTCCCTTTGGTGTCACAATGTACCTTTAATGGGGAAGATCCATTTAAAGTAGGACTCTATACAAAGCTACTCAGCAACCGTTTCCACTGGCGAGTTGGGTAACACATGATGGCTAATACCTCCCTTAGTTTTCAATTGGAATGACAATTAATAACGTAGGTAGCACATGTGCACTGAGAAGGATGGTATTATAAATACTCCTATATTATTTTATGCTCTATTAGTTTGAAACAGATTTTTCATACGTCTTTGGACAGTCTTCTCCTTTAGTTGAATTCCAGTGAAGCGCTCGTTTTCTTTTTGACTGTTATCTGTATTAAATAAAGATTACTGTCAGTATGTTTGTAACATTATGCTTATTCAAAACACAAAGAATGTAGATGTACTCGATGTAACATTTCCTGTGCAAACATCTAGCTATTGTGTTCGCTAACACACTTGTCAAGGAAAAAGTTCATCTGTACCACCTTCAGCACTGCCAAGTGGACAGAAATCTGAGTCCTGTGCCTGAGAGACTTTGACCGTCAATGACAAAGGAGCAGCTTTCGGATACTGATAACTAGTAATTGAAAATATACAACCAGACTCAGTAGGAAGTAAAATTAAAGCCAACAAATACTAAAGGGTAAAACCCCAAGATTACAATTGTCAAACAAAACATGTCATTGTCTTGTATGCTTTCTTTCTCTTCTTGTTCGATTTATTCTTTATAAAACATTTTCTGAATGTATCGTTTATTGAGGATCTTAATATCTGTGAATCTGAATATCACATAATCATTATAGAAATTATAGTTAATTAGCTAAGTCTATTCTTAATTAAGAAATCTTCTAATCATCTTTAGTTATCATGCTTCATGCAACGTGTATGTTTAATTGAAACAGTTTAAAAACTTCGTGCTTAATATACCAGCTTGGAACTCAAGTGGTGGTGGTCTAATCTCACTGTGTTTCTTTACTCTTTTCGAACAATGTATTTCGTTTTAAATATAATCATTACATTATAATAACATTATGTAATTAAAAATAAAATAATTATTATTGCTAAAGGGTAAATGTTTTGTCAACACCATCTCTAACTTTAAAACTTTACTTCAGACCTAACTTTCATTCACATGTTTCGCCTTATTAAATAACACTATAAAGTAAATCCTGGGGCCAGTTGTTAGTGTTACGTATCTGCTTGTTTGATAATTTCTCGTAAAAATTCTTTCCAAGAAACTTCAGTGGTACAAGTCCTTTCTTAATTAAAACTAGTTTATTCTTTCTCGTTACAAACTTTGTAATACACTTAACTTCCACAGTCACTTTAACTTAGCTATAATTCACAGCGATTTACACACTTTACTTACGGCTTGACTCGATTATATCTCCATTATCAATTTATCTGCCGGCTTATATACTAAAAAAGAGGGCGTTTAGCAAACGCTGGGGCATTCGTGAGGTTCCCCGATCCTTCTAGAATCTCATCATGTGTTACCAGCGTCATGTGACTTCCGCTGTCGTAACACTGCCCCTTCCTTAGTATTGTTCGTCCCGAACAATAGCCACTTTCATTAAACCAATAGTTAATCAAAAATAACTTAGTTAAATATACAGAATTTACAAACACAAAATTAAAATTCAACAAAGTCTCTTAATTTTACTGGACGTATCTTCTCCGTACTGGTCTCCATCTCGTTGGCTTCTGCTTCATGTGGGGTTCAGCTGCTCCATCAAGAAATGTCCTATTATCGGTAACAGTCACATCAGTGATAGTAACTTCATTAAAGGCTTCACTGTTTCCCTTCTCTAAACCGGGTAGAGTTTCTTTATCGACAGTGGCTTTTTCAGGTGACATGTCTTCAGCAGCGTCATTTGTTCCATTGTTCACTTCGTTCCAACTGAAATGTCCTGGACCGTGATAACACCAAAGCCTGTTGGCATGCGCCACCTTTGGCTTACCTCGCTGACCACATTTTATTAGGAAAGTCACGTCTGAGAGACGATCCACTATGTCATATAGGCCTTCCTATGGAGAAGACAACTTAGGAGACTTCCCTTTGGTCTTCCTGGGATTATACAACCACACCTTGTCTCCTGTTACAAAGCTGACTTCAGTAGATCTCTTATCATAACATAGCTTCATGGAATCAGCAGAAGTTTTCAAGTTTGAACGCACTTGATGGTGACTATCATCCATCCTTTCAGATAACACTTTCACGAACTCTGACACATTTTCAGGCAACTCTTCATAAGGTGGGCGTCCTGTTATCAGGTCTACTGGCAACCGAAGTTCCCGACCAAACATCAGCTTTGCTGGAGTATATCCAGTGGCTTCATGCCCTGCTGTTCCATAGACCATTAACAGTGGAGGGAGTAAGACATCCAAGTCATCTTGGCGAGCTATTACAAAACTTTGCCAATTCCTGTCACAGTGTCCAATTGTACTTTTCTACCATCCCATCGGACTGTGGGTGAAGTGGCGTTGTCCTGGTCTTTCGTATGCCAAACAACTTGCATCATTCATGGAACACAGCGGATTCAAAGTTACGGCCTTGATCCGAATGCAGTTTGTATGGCATACCAAATCTGAAGAAGAAATCACAAATAGCCGAAGCTACAGTTGTAGCTTCCTGATTTGGTATTGCATATGCCTCAGGCCACTTGGTGAAATAATCCATCACCACACAAATGTACCTGTTTCCAGCACGAGTTTGGGGTAAAGGACCAGCAATGTCAATGGCCACTCTTTCCATTAGTGTGCCAACTTGATATAACTTCATTGGAGCACGTCCCTTATGCTTGGATCCCCTTTTAGCACAACATGTACAGCATGTCCTGCACCATTCTTCCACATCTTGCCTCATACCTATTATCCAGTAAAATCTCTGTCGTAGGTGACTCAATGTCTTCTTAACTAGATGTCCTCCTGTTAAACCATCATGGGATTGACGCAGCACAACTTCCCGTAACTTTCTCGGTATAACTGTTTTCCATCTCCAGAGAAGAATACTATCTTCAAGTTTCAACTGGTCCCATTGTGCCTAATAATTCTTTGTCACAGAGCTTAAGCTAGACACATTTTCCCAAGCAGGGCACAAAACACTTGCTTGTAGAAAATCAATTATTGGCTTCAAATCTTGGTCTATCCCCTGCTCTGGTTTAATATCTATACCTGGTTCCACTTCACCATCATCGACTCCTTCAGTCACTTCAGCTTGATGGCACCTGGTTAGCTGAACCTCTCTTTTAACACTTACCTGAATTTGGCCTTTGTTGTTTTCGTCATAGATTCTGCATCTCAGCAAAACCTTGTGAGTATCAAGTTGCTGGATCACAAAGGAGTACCAGAAGCTGTACAGAAGCTCTGTGGCGTGACAGGGCATTATGCAAAGTTGTGGGGACCAGTATGGGTAACTATTGAGCTCATGGGCTTAAAGGATAAACGCAAAGTATACTTGGCTGACATAGAAAACCAATGCATATTAGGATTGGACTACTTACTACCAAGGAAGTGTGTAATTAATTTTGATAAAATGACATTTGGGGTCGCACCTTTGGCCATCCAGCTTTCCTGTCACGTAGACACTATGTGTACTTGCCATTTTACACTTCGCTGTTGGGACTTTACTGTTTATGTTCTTTCTCCTCCAATAGCTGTTGTAATCTTTCTTCTTGTTTCTTTTCTCATTCTTCTCGTTTCTTTTCTTTTTCTTCCAACAACTGCTGTAGTCTCACCTGTTTACTGTGATGTTCGAGCTGCCATTGTTGCAGGTTTTCTTGCCACTGCTGTAATCTTTCTTCTTGTTTCTTTTCCTTTTCCTCCAACAACTGCTGTAATTTCTCTTCTTGTTTATTTTCTTTCTCCTCCAATAACTGTTGTAATCTCTCTTAGTGTTTTTTTTTCTCGTTCTTCTTGTTTATTTTCTTTTTCCTCCAACAAATGCTGTAATCTCTCTCGTTTATTGTCTGTTCGAGTTGCCATTGTTGCAGGTTTTCTTGCCACTGCTGTAATCTTTCTTCTTCTTTCTTTTCTCGTTCTTCTTGTTTCTTTTGCTGTTCTTGTATTGCTCCCATCAAATCTTCTAAGCTATAGTTTGATTTGCCGCTTCTCGTTTCCATCTTCTTTTTTGTCCCACTCTGTGACACCAATTTGTTACGTCTCTGTCGTTAGTTAATTTTTCGTAAAAATTCTTTCTGCAGATACTTTAACGATACAAGTGCTTTCTTAAATAAAACTGGTTTATTCTTTCTGAATAC